AAAATATATTGTCTTCAAAATGTTTTATATATAAATATGCAGAGATTTATAGTGTTACACAAGACTCGTAGAAATACTACAAAATGAAGAAAATAAAAAAGTACATGAAGAAAATAATTTTTTCAATTGAGAACAATTACTTTCTTTACAAGAAAAAAATTTTTTCTTGTAAAGAAAGTAAGTATTCATTAAAAAATAAAATAAAAACTTTATTTTTTAACTGACTTCATTGTTCTTTAGTTTTTTCATTTCGCTTATTACATTTTTATTCGCTTTTTTTATTTTAAACTTTTTGTTTACAATAAAAATTTTTTTACCAACAAATGCTGTTTATCTTTAGTTAGAAAAGTAACAGAGATTTTAGCATAGTAATTATTCAAAAAATGAATTTTGTGGAGGTAAATGTCATTTTAAAATTACTTTTAAAAAAAGATAAAAAAAGTTATTTATAAAGGTAATTAATAGTATGACGCATTTTAGTGTAAGCATTTTAATATAAATTTAATAAATCATTTGTGCTAAATGGATTTTAATAAATGCGCTAAATGCATGTACTAAATTTGTAATAAGTTATTTTTTAAAGTATTTGCAATTTTTACAATTTTTTTTTTAATTTACAACTCAAAAATTTTAATAAACAAATATAAGAAGTTTAATTTAGTAAAACAAAATTTACAAATACAAAAATCAATTTTTATTAATTTACACATACGTAAGTTACAACTTAGAGAAATTTATTAAAACCTTCTTTTGAGTCACATATTTGTTAATCATGAAAAACTGGGCACATACTCATAATTTTTCAGACATTATTGAACTCATTGCTGCGTGTGGTTGTAAGGAAGTTAAGGCGCACATTTTGTCTAGCCCAGCAAATGCAACATTCATGTTTCCGGAATATAATGCTAAGTATATAAAATTATCTATGATTTTGTCAAAAATCCTTTAACTAAGTCACTTAGAAATGGTGGGAGTTTTTCTTTTACTTCGGATATAAACTTCTGATATTACTTCAATTGAACAGTTAACTATACATGCCACTTTCGAACACAAGGACATCGTAAAAGAACATTTTATAGGACTAGTTCCTTTAAGTAAGCTCACCGGTTCTAGTCTATCAGCTCCAAATGTTTTTGATGTTAATCAAAATTTTTATAGAGCTAAAAATATATAAAATATATAAAAATTTAAAAATGCTCCCTTTGCTTGTATGGACACAACAAGTGTCAATTCTGGTATAAAAGGAGGTTAAAAAGCCTACATTGAGGATGCTGTGCCACTGTGTGTTTAAGTTGGGTGTACAAGTCATAAACTTGCGTTATGTTTTAAGCATATTTTAAAGGATTTTTAAAATATGTTTAAAACATAACTTTTAAAGGACTTTCCTACTATTATGGAGGTAGATATTTTTTTACTTAAAGTAAAAAAATATCTACCTCCATAGTAGTAGGAAAGTCCTTTAAAATATGTTTTAAAGGACTTTCCTACTATTATGGAGGTAGATATTAACCTTATAATAGTAGAAAGCTACTATTACTTCATAATAGTAGAAAGTTTTCTGAGTACTGTACACTAGCCATGCGTTTACTGCAGGAATGCTTTAAAATCTATGGAGAACTAGAAACCAGTTCCAGTTTGTCCAAGTGTAACACGTTAGACTGCACATGATCAAGCTTGTTTAGTTGTGTTTAAAGGTTATAAACCGATTTTACAAGCTTTGTCAACATGCTATATCAAACGAAAAGAAGCAGAAGCGCTCAAGCTTTTTATTCAAGCGAGTTCACAATCTATCATCGCAACAATATTAATGCTCTTAGATGTGTTTGAAGCAATTCGCCTACTTGTGCTAACACTACAAGTGGGAATTAGTCTCAGGGACATTCCAACTTATGTAAATCAAGGTAATCATAGTTTAGATGATTTAATCTCGGGTACTTTTACAATTTTTATTGAAATGAAATCAGAGACAGATATAATAACTTTTTTGTTACCAGCCACAAGCAGAATAAAAAAAAAAAACAAAAAAAAACAAAAAAAAAAAAAAAAAAAATAGCTTTGACTTAAAGTGAGTTTGAGTTGAATGTTTTTAGATCTTTCGTTAATGGTTTTAAAAGTGAACTATAAAACACTTTCGTGCAAATAAATTTTTAGCAATGGCTTTCGATTTTTGATCCAAGACGATCGCCTAAAACACTCAGGCAACTGTCTAGCTATGGTAAAGAAAGCTTTCAAACAAAACATTCAAGTTCTAGATATCTAAGAAACCGAGACAAAAAACAAATTTGAAAGTTTCAAAATTATTTATTTACTAAACACCGAGAATAGGAAAACAGTTTTGATACACGTATATCGAAAGAAAAAGGTCAAGAAGTAGTCAATAATTTAATTAAGTCAAGAAACAATTTTAAGCCTCAACAGTTATAGAAAGTGATTAATAATGACCCTGTTTCAGGCGTGGTCAGGAAGCGGGAGCGATCACTCTCGAATACTGACCAGCCAGGTTTTTTAGTCATTTTGAGAACATTTAAATTTATGTACGTAAGAAAAAATTTTGTTTTACAGACATACACGGAAACATAATAAACTTGAATGTTCTCAAAACATCTTGCTGCGGAAGAATAAAAAGAATATTCGCAAACACTTAAAACTCGCTAAATTTACGAACAAACTAATTCCATTAGTTTAAAAAATACGCTTACTAAGCAAAATAAAGTTCTAGAGTATTTTGTAGAAATATTTTAGATGTATTATTCACGATTTGTAACGTTTTGAGATTTCTAGCATAAATTGTTTTAAGTATATATTATCAAAAAAATATGTATATATTATCAAATGAACTTTAATACTATCTGCAAAGCCGTAAATCTTTTAAACTATTATTATTTGTTTACAAAAATAAATGTTTTAAATATACATTTTTTAAATTGTCAAAATTTTGAAAGTTTATTATAAATTATAGATTTTATTAGTATATTCTTATTTTTTATTTAAAAAGTATGTATTATTTATGTAAATATAATTTTGTGTATCTGTTTTTTTATCGTAATGTAACCTTTTAAAGTAATTTTTATGATTTAATTTGTAAACAAATACTTGCGTTAATTTGTAAAAAAATCATTGCGCTTTCAATGAAGTTATTAATAATCATCAAAGTTAATAAAACTAATGTAACAAACATATAAGAAGTTTCTGGCTACTAAACACAAACAATGCATACTAAGTAACTCGCGGATGAACAAGCACTGCGCATGAGGTCACGACAGAACACAAATATATATAGCAAGTTATTAGATATAAAGAAAAATTTCCAGATATTGGTTTACCAACTCGAATTATTTTCGCTTCAGTTGCCATTCTTAAAAACTCGTTATACTTTTTTCTGTTTTAAATACTAATTAAAATTTATAAGCCCACTCACTAGACATCAGCGATATTGTGAAGCAGTTTTGCTTCCTCGTCATAAAGTATCCTTTTTAGTTGATTTCTATCTAGTTAATTTAATTTCTATAGTAATTCAATGAATTAATTATTTCATTTGTTCATCTTACCAAGAAGAATTGTTTCAAGTATGTTAAACTTTTTAAACTACGTGAAGCATAAAATAGGTATTAAAAAAATTAACTTTTTTATTTATAAAATAATTTAGCTTAGATAAAACTAAAACTTGCATTAGCTTAATTAGAATCTTGTTTGACCTTTTGGGGCCGGGTGCTATTTTTATTTTGGATGTCTTTATATGTGTCACAGAGTAAAAATAACTAAACAAAAAGATCTTCTTGACTTTTTTTGGGTACTAACATTGCGGGGCCCGGGGTTATAGTCTCCTCTAACCCCAACCCTCTTTAATTTAGCACTGGAAATAAGACACAAGTATATAAATAAAAACTGCACTTTTTGTTAAATAAAGAATATTTGTTTCTTTTTTAAACAAGCGTAAGGTTGTATAAAAAAATGTTATATAAAAAATGTTGCTTAATTTTATAAAAAAATTATAAAGAGTGATGTTTCAAAAATATTTGTTATAAACAGTGTCAATAATGATATTATTTATATCATTTAGTTATTTGGAATAAAACTTAATACTGAGTAGTAATAGTATTATAGATGTCTGTGGCCAGACTAGAGATTTAAAGAAAACATAAGCATCATCAAATTTTAAATCCAAAATTAAACTGAATTTTGACATAAAAAAAAAGCAACGAAACCAACAATAACTAGTTAAACTACTTTATTAAAAAATTTCCATTGCTTAACTATAAATTCACACTTTACCTAAACTTTAACTCACTTTAACTAGATTGATATAATCTGGTTGTGTTAAAGAATATATATATATATATATATATATATATATATATATATATATATATATATATATATATATATATATATATATATATATATATATATATATAATGTCAATAAATAGGCTGATTGAAATTTGTAATATAATGCTAATTTTGCTTATTACATGTTGACGCAACATAGGGTAAATCTGGAAATAATGCTGCCACTAAATACAGCCACAATGATAACTGGCATTCAAATGGCCAGAATAAATACAAATACTGTAAGATTTTATTGATTTAAACTATATAGAAATATTATGGTTGTATGTTTCTATATTTATTTATAAGTTATAAATTTTATAGTATATAAGAACTTTCTAATTACAAATATCTGTAGAAAATTTTAGCTTTTTTATAAAAATTATCTACAGATGAATATATAAATCTAAACAAATATTAATAAAACTATAGCTTAAAACTCATTTAAAAGTCAAAATAACAAGAAAAAAAATGCAAAAATCTTATCCACTGTCCATGGGTTTTTTGTAACATTTATTTATAAAAAACATAGATGATCATTATTTTTTTAATAAGAATTATTCCCTTTATAAACTTTAGAGTACTTAAAGGACTTAACTCCTTAAACAGTACTTAACTTCTGAAAAATTGGAATGAGGAATTTTAACTTTATCTTCAAAATAAAATACTTACACTTTCTCACAAAGTTCAACAAAAACTTCTAATGCAATTCTTGGTTCATTGCAAATATAGTGCCGTTTACCTTTTGACAGTAATTCTTGTAAATATGCTAGTTCTAAATTACTAAAAATAAATTAAACAAATATGAATACCATATATTTTTTAGTTTCTGAACTCACATCAATTTATTTCAAAACTTAAATTAAAAAAAAATCTTTCTATTCAAAACTATTGGTAATTTGGACAATAACATTATAGTATCCAGGATTACTGAAGTTTATTATTTGATTTTAATATTAACAATAAGTTCAAAATAACTTTGATGTATATTATCTCAAGTATAGAATTGTATAAGTCGACTCGTATATTGTGTATGTAAACTAATTAAGTAAAAAACGCAACTATTTTAGCAAACCTAGTTTGCTTGATACCTAAACATTTTTTTTTAAATTAAAAGAAAAATAATACTCTTCCCTAACACTTTTAAAAAACTTTATACAAATTTTAAAACTTATTTAGATGCAGTTAGTTATTTGAACGACCTGATAAAAATAATTACGTTTTATATATAATAAAATTTAATTTTAAAATAATAAAACGAATCTGGAAACTAGGTCACTACTTCATAAATTTTATAGTTACAAAAATAGATTGTTAATAAATTACCTTGGTTCATTTTTTGAAGACGATGGGCGTGCCTCTTCTGAAACATTTTTTTCATTATCTAAATACATTTTTTTTACTTGTATCTTGATATTTATATTAATGAAGTTATGTTTAAAGATATTATTAACCTTTTTTATGTTTCGCGCGTTTTTATTAAAAGCGGTTAATAAATTAGGTCTAGCAGAAGTAAATCACCCAATCGTTTATTCCCGAAAGGCGATTAAAAAACAGAAATTTAAAATTTTTAAGTTAATACAAAAATTTTTTTAAGTTAATATAAAATTTTTTAGTATAATTTGAAATTAAAGTTTTAATTTTACTACATTTTAACTTTATTTTTATTTATTTATTAAAAAAAAATTTAGTAGTTATTACGAAAAAATGTTTTTACTATTAAAACATTTTTTTGTATATATAACTCAACTTTTTTTTTAACTAATAATAATGGTTAAAAAAATTAGATCTATTTTGTGATTAGGTCTACCCAACTGATATTGTAATAGTTTATTAGTAAAGGTTTAGTAAAAGTTTTAAAATTATTTGAATTTATTCAATAATTTAATAAGTTATTAAATTTAATAATTTAATGGTTTAATAAATGATTTAATAAATTAGGTATAAAATTATTGTCTTTAAATATTTATATATTTAAAGCCAATAATTATTATTTCTTTCCAAGAACCTTAATCTTTTAGTAGGTAGCTATATTAAAGTAACTTATTACTTACTTGCATTCAAATAAATTTAGATTAAACTAAAATTTAAAATATGGATGTCAAAAATGATTGTAATTTAAATACAAGAAACTCTCAAACCAAAGATGTTATAGGAACTAGTTTAGTTGTAAATGAATCTTCTAATTCTCCAAGTAGTTTTCAAAGATGCAAGTTAATTTCGCCATTTTGTAGAAATAACAATGATATGATGGCAGATAATGATTATGTAGATTACACTCATGAAAGAATTGATTTAGATGATGCACTTGAACAAGTATAGTAGATTTTACAATCTTTAGTTATATTGTTTTATTTAAAGAAATATTGCAAATATTACTAAAATACATGTAGAAAATTTTTAATTTTTGTTTACAAATTTAGATAACCTGAAATGCATTTTTTGTAAAAAAAAAAAAAATAATGCCTGGATATATTTTTACTTTTTTTTAATCTTAATTAAAAATAAATTACTTAAATATATTTAGGACCTTTTGTTTTGAAATGTTTTTAACTAAGATTGTTAATGAATGATAATTATTAGTCATATTAAATTACTAAAAAAAAAAAGAAAAAAAAAAAGAAAAAAAAAATTGCTATATTTGTATTTTTGCATTAAAAGATAAAGACTTTTTTCACAGCATAGTTTTACTTAAGTTGAATAAACCATGGTTCATCTTTTAAAATTTATAAAGTTGGTATAACTTATAAAGATGAGAATAATTTTTTTAGAAGGAAAAAAAAATAAAATGTTTTTCTTTAAAGTCAAAGTAAAATTGTTTTTTTTTTATTTTTTTTAGGTAAAGTTAAAATTCAAAAGTCAAAGTAAAATTGTTTTTTTTTATTTTTTTTAGGTAAAGTTAAAGTTTAGGTAAAACATAAAATTCTTATCCATTTAAGCGCAAACATCAAATCAAACTTTTTTTTGCTTTTAATGTTATGAAACTGTGATGGTTTCATTTCTCAGGAATTGTAAAAGATGTATTATATCTCTCTTTCAAAATTGTACTTTATAGTGTGTGCTTCTATTAAAAACTTTTCAATAAAAATGAAGGATATTGGTGTTTACTTCAATAAAAATAAAGGATCACTGGTGTTAGATGACTTCTGGTGGTCTTCACTGGTGTTAGATGACTTCTTTTCTCAACATTTTCATATTAAATAGAGCTATTTGTGTGATTTTTTGTTTGCATATTATTCATAATGATTAACCAATCAGAATTTGTTCTTATCAAGAGACTCCATAAAATACAAAATTTCAGCTTGCAGTATGTATGTATGTGTGTAAAAATTTCAAACTATTTTCATTTGTTGATCAGATATAAACTTGATGTTGAAGTTCAGTTGGGATTTCAAAAACCCAACTCAATTTCAATATCAAGTTTATATCTAATCAACAAATAAAAATAGTTTGAAATTTTTACACACATACTAGTAAATTCAATATTAGCAGTGATAACTACAAAAAGAACGGCTCAAAAATTTAAAATCAAAAAATCAAATACTTTTTATTTTTATTAGTTAAAATTTCATATGAAATCTGTTTATATGAAATTTTAACAAATAATGCGACAAAATACATTTTACAAGACAAATGCCAAGCTGTGATAAAATAGTTAAATATTTTGATTACAAAATCATTGCCTTAAATCGACTGATAAGCACATACAGTGTTTAATTTGTTCCAAAATGGCATCTCATAAACGGCGTAGTATTCCTCTTTAAAAAGTTTTAAATTATATCTCAGATTGTGAAGATAGTAAATATGAGTACTGGCATATATTAAAGTTTTGAAGCAATAAATTTTGAACTTATTATTTATTTATTTAATAATAACTGTGTATATGTACAATGACAATCTTCAGAGCCTAGGTAATGTAGACTAGACCAGCAGATTTATGCTAATAACAAGTCCAACATTTAAACTCTTTAACCTATTAACAGTCCCGTGTATTTTTAAAAATACGGTCGCTATAAGTCTAGCTTTTTTTTAAGGGTGGTTGCTAAATGTCCCGTGTTTTTTAAATCATCATGTTTGTTTACAAACAAAATAAAAATTATTTTTTTTACTGTTTTTAACCTTGTTAAACACTGCAAAACGTCACTACTCAAGTTTACGAATATATAAATCATACTACATAAACAAAAAATTGTAAAAATGTATTCACTAATATTCACTTTTTGTATGAGAATTGGAAAAGCATGGAGCTGCACAAAGTCTTATATTTTAAACATTCATATCTTGAACCTTTTTGATTTATGTGTTTGTATCATACTGCACACCTTCTTTGAGCATTAATCTTATATAAACATTTTCAATAATCATTCATCAAATATATCTTTTCATCATTGATTCATCAAATGTATAATTTTTTATCCTTTAGTGAGTAAGTATTTACATTTTGGTAATTATTTTTGCACTGAAAGGACTTCCTTATTTGTCATATTAAAAATTTAATTAAACACATGTAAAAGTAAATTATTGAAACAAAAGCTTTTTAATTATGAAGTAATAAATTTTGTGACAAGTAGATGTATAACTACTGATGAACAAGAAGAAAATATAAACAGATGCATGAAACCGTAATATTACTGCATGGACATTTAGGAACCACTTTTAGTTTGCATAATATTACGGCATGGACATTTAGAAACCACTTTTTATTTGCGTAATATTACAGCATGGACTGTTAACAGGTTAAGTGTTTTAGAATCTTCAATGTTTTGATCTAAGTTATTCCAGCTGTTAATTCTCTTTGGGTTTTTAGTTAATTGTCATCAAAAATTGTGACCTCTTATATTTGAAACTATTAATGTTGAATTATCTATCATTTTGACAATTTTATAAAGTTGGATTAGGTCATTATGTTAGCGTCTTTTTTTATGAGTAGTTAATTTAAAGTAAGTAAGTGTAGTTTCAAATTTTTTTTCTTAAAGACATTTTGTTCGTCTTGCTTTATGTTGTATCGTTTTAATTTTTTTTATGACTTGTTTTAAGTAAGGATACCACACCGAATTTGCATAGTCTAGATATGGTCTTACAAGAGAGTTTACAATAGTTTAGACCATTAATGTACAAGTTTTTAAATGAATGATTTATTATTCTTAACATTTTATTAGCTTTACCAGACACATAATAAACTTGATTAGACTATTTTAAGTCATTTGAAATCATTATTCCTAAATTTTTGAATTTTGGTTTCTGGTAGTTCAATTCTGTTTAACATTGAATCATACATTGTGTATATATACTTAGTATTTTTGCTACCTATATGCATGCATTTACATTTGCTAACATTAAATTTTAATAGCCATAATTTTTGCCATTATTAAATTTTGTCATTAATTTGTTTAGAATCTTTTCTATATCAGAAGATGATCTAATTATGTTAAATAGTTTTATATCAGTTATAATTAGTATATATCAGCATACATTTTACACTTATTTGATAGCTCATTGGGTAAGTTGTTTATATAAACAGTAAATATAAATGGACCTAAGACAGGGCTTTGCAGTACTCCACTTGTAACTGCAGACCAATTTAAAAATTCGCTATTGCCGACAACACTTTGCACTTTGTTACATACAAAATTTTTGCACAATCTAATTGCTTTATAGTTAAATCCATAACTTTTTAGTTTAAGACACTGTTGTGAAGCACGGAATCAAAAGCTTTTTTTATATCTAGGAAATGATTTTTCTGGTAAATTATCTTAAATTGCCTGAATTATTAGATCCTGTAAGGTTTGTACAACAATTTTTTTTTTTAAGAATATCTGTACCTTTCTTTAATCAAAAGATTGTTTTTTTCAAATGCGGCGTAAATGTAGCTTTTAAGATATGTTCCATTACTTTGCTTATATCTGAAGTAAGTAATACTGGTTGATAATTTGATGGATCTGATTTATCTCCATGTTTTAATAATGGTGTTATATTAACATTTAACATTATGCATTACCTATTTATATAGTAGCATTATGTTTTACATATTTTAGTCAGCTGATGCATGTACACTCCATGCATTTAATTCAATCAATTTATGTACACTCTCTGTATGTTCTATCTATTTAAGTCAGTTGATGTATGTACACTTAGGCTGTAACCTTTTGACTTTTTTTCAGAAAATGAGACGGCTATGGTCCTATACTATAAGGAAAAATTTGAAACATTGAAATATTTATTCTTTCTTTTAAAAACATCACTAACCCAAAAATACAGTTTTTTTCTTTTTCTGTGTAATAATATTATTAAAAGTGAAGCAACATGTTTCTTTCATAAATCAATGAAAGAAACATGACTGTTTTAATTTATGCTTTACTGAATGTAAAAAGTGAATTAGGAACGTCAGGAGTTTTGTAATTCAAATAGCATAAAATGTATAACTCTCTTGACACATATGTTGCCTGGTGTCAAATATCGTTGTTTCTTTACACCATCAAGTCTCAAAACACTTTTTAACATTTTCATAATTTTAAATACATTCTGTCAACATAGTACTGGAGTTTTCTTAAAAATGGTGATCTGAAAACCAATTGTCTAGCTAAATTTCACAAATAAATAAACAAATCTGCTTCAATCAATTTCTCGTTTGAGAAATCGAAAATAAAGCCTAGAAAGCATAGGTTCCATGTAAATTACCATCCATTAGAAATTAGAGCGCCTCTAAAAGCAACTGTTTTTGAAATTGTCTGCTGCCACCCCCTAAATGTGTTCTATGTAATAAATTAACACTAAATTAAAAAAATTTCTGAAATTTTCATAAAATTTCACTTTTTTTGAGACCCAACACAATATACTTTTAAAGAATTTTTTTTTTCAAAATATTTGGCACCCATTTGATGTTTAAGGGTCTTGAGCAAACCCTGAAATTTTTTTTTATTCAAATTTTTTTTTAATTTAGTGTTAATTTATTGCATAGAACACATTTAGTGGGTGGCAGCAGACAATTTAAAAAAAATTGTTTTTAGAAGCACTCTAATATATACACACACACACACACACACACATATATATATATATATATATATATATATATATATATATATATATATATATATATATATATATATATATATATATATATATATATATATATATATATATAAGCCTCGGCGGGAATAATTGAGCACGAGAGCAGAGAAAAGCTCTCCTAAAACGAACTTGGGGAGCTGTGCGAGCTGCTCCTCATACAAATCAACGCTCTTTATAACTTTAATTTTTTTTTGCAACAACCCTGCTTTTTAAAAAGTGTTGCAATATAATATGCAATTATTTTT